GGAATAGTGACAGGCCAAATAGAAAAATCTCCCTCTTTTGACGGCCCAACCCTTTTTTTTTATTTTAAATTGTTTGTAAGCTTGTCTTTACTTATAATAATCACCAATATGGATGTAGCGAAAAGGATTCAAGAAGTCGACTCCTAAATTTACAAAAAATATCAATTTGTGTTTTTACTTGTACAAGAATCTCTTCCATTCAAATAGATTTAGTGGTATATTTAAAGTTGTAGTATGATATGATTGGTATGTTTTATCGAACACGAGGAAAATGCCCCAAAGATTCTACAGATTAGAAAAGAGGAGAGCGAGTGAAAATTTTGTATAGATTACAAAGGGTAAGTCAAATTTTTATTATTATTATTTATTTACTGTGCTATTTTGAACTATATTTAAGGTCAAGTTCTGCTTATCACCTCTAATTGGTACTTTTATTTTGCATTCATAGTTTAGTAGTAGAAGTTATCTCTAACTTCATATCGATTTGGTAGACATGAAACCTTTACGTAACTTCAAATATATACAAATAATACTTAGCCTCTGTTTGTTTTCCATTATTTACTCATTAAAATGAAAAATATGATCGTTATCCATCACATTAAGTAACCATATTTGAAAATCTTTCTCTTGTGTGGAGCTCGTAACGACTATATTTTTCATTCTCATTTTTATATTAATGTGACTCAAACGAGGCCTTGATTATTATTGTACCTGTACTTTGGTTCGTATGTTTGAAATTTTACCTGCAATATTTTATATTTTATCTTCCTGATTTGTTGGATTTAAAGTACAAACAGGGAAATAAGAGAGTTAAATTCCCAAATGATAACTGAACTTTTCCAAAAGTTTTCAAGAGGTTATGAACTATAAAACTTTCCTAAATAGTCGCTAAACTTTTCAACAATCTTCAAAACTTCCATAAATAATCATCGAACTTTGCAAAAAGTTTTTAGGAGGTTACTAAATCAGTGATATATGGGGTTCCAATTTGCAAAGTTGAGCGATCCTCTAGAAATTTTTTACAAAGTTCAATGACTATTTAGGAAAGTTCTGAAATTTGGTGACCTCCTGAAAACTTCTGGCAAAGTTCAATGACTATTTTGGAAAGTTTTAAAATTCAGTAACCTCGTGGAAAATTTTGGCAAAGTTCAATGATTATTTGAATAATTAACTCAAAATAATACTATAAGCCCATTATTAAGAGGTTGACATCTGATGGTTTGGTTCAAGAATCTAAAGAAATAACCGTTGCATATTTTTTCATCTGATGGTTTGGTTTTTAGAATCTAAACAAAAATCATTGCATATTTTTCAAGTACAAAATATCCTTTTCATTAAATTCTTTATCAGTTATTAAAACCATAATCGATTGATATATGACGAGTATTAAATAATAATAAATATAATTCGATGCGAAGTAATTCTATTCAATTAAGTAGAAATACAACGAACATAAGTTATATATTAATAATTTACTTTGATGTGAATTAATTCTATTCAATTAAGTCGAAATAAAACAAACACAAGTAATCTATTGATACGATCACATACAAATATATTAGGCACATTGAATTGAAAAATACAGTAGACGAATATCTAGGGAGCAATAAGAAATATAATCAATAATTGTCATTTAGTACTCATTATGATTAAGCTAATGAACTAAATTTTTCCTAAGTGATATGATCACATTCAAGGATTTTTATTTATTTTTTTCCTTTATGACCAACAAACCTTATCATCTTCAATAAGAATTGCATTACATTGAACTTTGACTAAAGACAACACATCAAGAAAAATCTAAGACAAATGAAAATATCTGGTACCAATTCATTTTTCAAATAATGCTTGCCATTCATGCTTGGCGAAGCTCAACTTTACTCATAATTGAGTTCTACAATTATTATTATTATTATTTACTTATTTATTTGGGATTATGTTTTTCCCCATTGAGTAGGATTGGAAATAAGCATGTCGTGTCAAATTCATATGTGGTCACTGATTTTCAGAGAATTCTCAATCTAGTTATTAAATTTTAATTTTATCTAAGTTGAATCAATAAAAGTATAAGAAAGAATGAGGATAGGGAACCTTATCCTATCCTAACTAATTAAAGATTTTGTTACAACAAATTCTAAATTTAGATAGATATCACATTCTAACCAATCTAGTACCATCAATCTCATCACATTCAAGATGATTTTTTTTATTTTTATTTTTTCCAAATTTATAATAAATCCATAGTTTGAATCGATGTGACACACAAGTACACCCCACGCCCCACCGCCACCCCCACTCCCCACTCCATCTCATCCCTCAACCCTATTTCTTTTCACTTTTAGGTATGAACATATTCTTTGCACTTTTCTTTTTCTTTTTTATTTTATAAGTATTCTTATATTAATTCAAGCATCAGAGTATTTCAAGAGATCGACCTCCAATCTTATCATTAGAGTTTTTCGACAGATCAACCCACAATCTTATGTAGGTCATTAATGAGTCAAAAGAGCATTATTAAAACCCCGATTAAGAAAAGACCAATTGCACTAACTTCTTAATCAAACTTCTGCCAATTGGCTCTTTCAAGTAGTCATGCATGGTTGGAGTGGCTTATGCTAAAAAATAAGTTTTCAATTTGCAATTCACGTTGGCTTATTTTGCATGTAGGTGGGTCCATATCAAAGTAAATCGCACAATTAGTAGTTATTTTTAAGCAGAAGACATTCCAAACATGCTTTTAAGTCACTCAAGTTTTTAAAGTTAAATATAAGCAATAATTCATTTGACTCTCTATCTAAGAATGCAAATCTCAAGAACTGGAATAGAATATAATTTCAATTTAGATTAATTGACCTTTGATGGGTTGCTTGTCAAATAAGAAATAGTAAAGAAAATTTAAATTCTCAATAGATAATTCTACCACCTTTAAGTTCCCTTTCCCCATATTAATTATATAATTACTATAATAAATGCTCTTGTAATAGTTAATAATTTACAGTGGAACAATGCATTGTAGCTTACAACCCTAGTTTGAGTAATATTAGATGATACGTTAATGTTACATTAATGTCACATAGACTATTGTTGTAACTTCAATGAGATTAAATAGCATTACTAATTAAAATGCGTTGACTTAAAGAAAATTTATGCAGTCGATATTAATTTTATTGAAAAAGAAAATTCATTTATTTTTATTAATAGTTGTAATAACCTAAATTTTAAAAAGCATATTTAGCTAAGCTTAAAAGATTTAAAAGTAACTTTCATAAGTAGTCACTGAACTTTCGAAAAATTTCAATTATGTCACAAAAATTTAATTTCTTTCAATTGGGTCACTAAACTTTAATTTTGAACATCAATTTGGCTTCAAATTTCACAACTTTGTCACAAGATGATGAAAATTACTCGGGGGTGTCCTCAATTTAGATTGTGATGGATTTTAAAAATCATTCTAAATTTAGATGTCTTCAATTGAGATTTTAATGAAATCCATTAAAATTTTGGTATCCCCAATTGAGATTTTAATAAAATTTAAAAAATCCTTTAAAATTTAGGCATCTTCAATAACTAGTCAATTTATAAAAAATTCATTAATAGAAGGATTTTAAAAGATTTGAATGGATTTCAAGCTTAAAAATATATATAATCAATTTTTAAAAAATTTCACCATATTTGATGAGATTTTTATGGAATTTGTAAGAGTTTATTTAAATCCACAAAATTCATTAGCATATATAATCTTTTAAAATTCATTAAATGAGATGTTCACAATTAAGATTTTAATGAATTTTAAAATATTAAAATTTTTAATGAATTTGAATAGATTCTTACAAAATTCCATAAGAATCTCATCAATATGGTGAAATTTTTTAAAAATTGATTATATATATTTTTAAGCTTGAAATTTATCCAAATCTTTTAAAATTTTTAAAATCTTTCTATTAATGAAATATTTATAAATTCACTGGTCATTGAGAATGTCTAAATTTTAAATGATTTTATTAAATTTCAATAAAATCTTAATTGGAGACACCTAAATTTTAATGAATTTCATTAAAATTTCAATTGAAGACAACTAAATTTAGAATGACTTTTAAAATTTATCACAATCTCAATTGAGGACACTCTTCTAAAATTTTAATTGAGAACACCCTCGTCAATCTTCTATTGATTTTCGTGCAACATGCCAATTTATCAATATGTGATGTCATAAAAACATTAAAGTTCATGAAAAAGTGTTAAAATAATAAGGTATATGCATTTTAACCTTTAATTTAGTCTAGCCCCTTGTTTGGTTCACGTTATTTAAAAAAGAAAAAAAAAGGAGTTTTGAATAGTATTTTTAGGAGAATGTATGGTAAAAAAAATAGGAAATTTTTTAAAGTTTACTTGCAAAATATTTTGTTTTGTGTGTGATTAAAAATGATCCTATTGGCAAAAAGATTTTTAAAATGATGGGAACCAAACTCTTGTTTTACCATTTTCATTATTAGGTAGGAGTACGATGTAGCAGTTACATGGAATATCATTAACTGTATGACCATCAATTAAGTAATTTTCGTCAATTTAGAAAACCATAAGTGACATAGGGATGATTTTAAAACGAAATTGAAGTTGTATTTACCCGGTTGAGACAAAAGTTCGTTGCTTTTTGATGAAATTTAACTCTTTTTCAATCATTAGTCAAATCTAATTTAACGTGATCACCGGTGCATATGCAGCTCTTGTTCACTGGTCTGTTGGGGCACATCTCGCGATTAACTTCTCTCACGGTGTTTCAGGGGCGGGACGGTGGAGGACTTTTAAGGTGGGGTTCATCCTTTTTTTTTAATTCAACGTGATCGAGTCAAGTCAAAACGAGACATAGGTGTTTTTGTTCTTGGGTTTGGAAGAGGCAGAGTGGATAATGTGTGGACCAAACTACGAATTAGCGGAAAGATGGAGATACCTTTTTCCTTCCTCTTCTCTTCTCCAGGCTCTCCTTATGACTGGTCCTACATCATGCAGTTATTGTTTACTCACCTAAATGGATCTCTCTCTATCTGTTTTCACACACTACAAACAGGGATTCAAAATTCTCTCTCTCTCTCTCTCTACACACACACATAACAGACTCCTTTTCATTTATAAAGGAAAAAGATAAGAACAAAAAAAGCCACCAAATCTGCCAAATCTTGGGTCCAAATCTGCAGCATTCTTCAGTTGCTCACATTATTCATAATTCAGTCACACTGGATAATGTGCGACTCTCTGTGCCTGTCTACATATAGCAATTGCCGTCAATGGAGCGACGTGCTTTTTTGTTAAAGATATCCCAGAATTCACGTGCCCTTTCTTAAACAAAAATTCATTATTCTGTATGCACTTTTGACTTTGCTCCTATATATATATGTGTGTATTTGCATTAGTTTCATTGTACTAAAAGAGTAAAAGGCGGTCTCAGTGGAATTTAATTATTTTTTGCTGAGATGGGATTTGTATGGATCTTGGCGGCGGTTGTGGTGGTGGGAGTGATGGTGGGTGGTAGTTACGGGTTCCCGGAGGAGGACTTGGTGGTGAAATTGCCCGGCCAACCGGAGGTGAAGTTCAGGCAGTATGCAGGATACGTAGATGTGGATTTGAAGGCTGGGAGAAGCTTGTTTTACTATTTTGTAGAAGCAGAGAACGATCCTGATCATAAGCCCCTTACTCTATGGCTCAATGGAGGTAATTTTTGTCAAGAATTTATACTTAATTTTCTTGATACAGGCAAATGCAGACACTTCATTTTACAAAATAAAAAATTTTAATATGAGTACTTGATTTCACATGTTCATTTTTTTTTTTTCAAATGGGTGGTGACGAGAATTGAACTTTCAACTCTTCTTGTCATGTTGACCATCTTACATGGTTTTTCTTTTTGTTTTGATCAGATGAACAAATGAAGGTGCATCTTCATTTATATTTTGTTTTAATTGATTTAGTTGTTGAATTCTCTAAAGGTGTTGCTATCAAGTTGACTCTAGAATAATCGGGCTCTTAAAGAGTACCGTAAATCGGTGGGTAATTTAGTTCACTTATACTGTAACGGAATCGAGCATCTATAAGAAATTTAACGAATGAAAAGAACTAAAGGCTTGAATTTTGAAGTCGAACGCTCGCAGCCGAATGTTACGTAAACTGAAATTGAAGCAAGACAAATTTAAGAACATCCGAATAGCCAATGATCAACAAGGAGCCTGTTCAAAACTGTTTTCTTTATTTCCTTTGTGGTTACTCGAGACCATAGCTTTAGCCAAATATTATTAGGCATAAGCCTCAATGCCAGGGCGTTAGTAAGTGTTTCAAACTAATCCCTCAAGGCTTATGCCTCAAGGGACAAAAGGGTTTAAACCTAGCCTCAAGGTTAGTCTCAGAATTGCCTTCTAAACCTGGGGTTTACCTTATGTATTCAGGCCCGGGTTGCTCATCAATAGGCGGGGGTGCCTTCACAGAGTTGGGTCCCTTCTTTCCTAGAGGCGATGGTCGATCCCTGAGAAGAAATTCTAAATCATGGAATAAAGGTGCATATCCATCTATTCAATTTTGCCTCAAAATGTCTATAATATAATGGCATATATTTCTGGATGGAGTACTTTACTCTCCATGTACTTGCTGATTTACACCCTTCATTTGTGTAGCATCAAATCTCCTTTTTGTTGAGTCTCCAGCTGGTGTAGGATGGTCCTATTCAAATACAAGCTCAGACTATACTTGCGGTGACATGTCCACGGGTAAGGAAATAGTTAAAGCAATGAGCATCAATCATATGCCTTCCTTGGTCTGGTTCTTGTTTGTGCATATACGCGTGCGTGTGTAGCCTTAAATTAAACTTCGTGGTGTTACTTTTGGAATCTTAGAGTAGGCTGGTTCAATTAGAGCACATTGAGTGCGTGGTAGAAGACACGATTCAATGGTACAATAGATAAGATTTTAACTTCTTTTCTCCTTAGTACTGTCTTTTATACAATCCAATCCCCTTTATCGAACGACATGCCATTAGAGTTCCATTTATTGTTTCTTGGCAGCAATGGATATGCATATGTTCATGATGGAGTGGTACAAGAAGTTTCCAACATTCAAAACCCGAGCTTTGTTTCTGACTGGAGAAAGTTATGCAGGTAAGTAGTTTAAGTCGATCTAATGACACACCATCGAATCATTTGTTTATAGTCTCTTTATCCATCTGGGAAAATGCATTCTGGTACTATATATTGAACTATTATTCTATGCGACTATGCCCATTTTTTACTGTAGCCTTATTTTTCTAATATATAGTGTAAATCTTGCGAATAATTGTTTTATGCATAGGGCATTATATTCCACAATTAGCTGTTGCTCTTCTCGACCACAACGAACATTCTAAAGAGTTCAAGTTCAATATTAAAGGGGTTGCAGTAAGAAAACATCACTCAAGCCAATATTCCTATTGCGTGTCTCTATTTCTTAAGCTTAATATAACTGGTTTAATTCTATCAGATTGGCAATCCTCTTCTCAGAATTGATCGCGATACCCCTGCACCATATGAATTCTTTTGGTCACACGGAATGATCTCTGATGAAATCGGCCTTGCCATTATGAACGAGTGTGATTTCGAAGATTATACATTTGCCAGTCCACATAATGTGTCACGTGCATGTAACGACGCCATATCAGAGGCAAATGAGATTGTTGGGGAATATATAAATAATTACGACGTGATTCTTGATGTGTGCTATCCGTCTATAGTAGAGCAAGAATTGAGACTACGAAAGATGGTATTTTATCTCAAACTCAATCTAACGTGTTTTTTCTCGATGAAATTAAAAGTTGACGACTATTGAGATATGCAATTGCAGGCTACTAAGATTAGTGTCGGAGTAGATGTGTGCATGAGCTACGAAAGACGGTTCTACTTCAACCTTCCTGAGGTTCAGAAGGCTCTTCATGCGAACCGGACCCATTTGCCGTATAGCTGGTCTATGTGCAGCGGGTAAGTCGAGCATTATGTTATAAAAGTGTTGGGTTGCCAAGAAAGTGTACTAAGTTCTTCTCTTGTGTATTTCTTAAAATATGAATCGACTAATTATCTTCTTAATATGTGAAGTGTTCTAGATTATAACCAAACAGACGGCAACATCGACATTCTTCCTCTGCTTAAAAGGATCATTCAAAACCAGATCCCAGTTTGGATTTTCAGGTGAGATATTCACTCGAACAATGCAAACGTAAATACCTTTTTAAAGAAATTATCAATGATCGAAATGCACGATTTCAGTGGAGATCAAGATTCAGTTGTGCCATTAATTGGTTCACGAACACTTGTACGCGAACTTGCTCATGATATGCACTTCAAGATTACAGTCCCATATGGAGCTTGGTTTCACAGAGGACAGGTACTGATTCAAAACACACTCTTTTGCTGAAAACGAAGCTAAAATCTTGTTCAAGATTGCTTATCGTCACATTTTTGTTGAATATAAGGTCGGAGGTTGGCAAACTGAGTATGGAAACTTGTTAACCTTTGCAACTGTTAGAGGTGCGGCTCATATGGTACCCTATGCACAGCCTTCAAGAGCTCTGCATCTGTTCAGTAATTTCGTCGGTGGCCGGAGACTTCCAAACACAACTCGTCCTTCCATTGACGAGTGACTAAGCGCGCTACATTGAGAGATTTGTATTCAGAAACTATTTTTAAAGTCGAGTCGAAGTTTGTTGAGTTTCATTGAGCCGAAGGCAACACATCCATTCTGCATTGTGATGTGAATGAAAAAGCAAAGCCAAGGGAAAATCTCAAAAGACTATCGATTTGATTGTTGAGGAATGAAAATCAACTTGGCATGTCGTGTTCCATTGACAGAACAATTTATTGTGTATTTTTACATTCGGAGGATTTTATTTAAGAACAATAATAGCGCAAAAAAATATTTTATAATGATTGCATTTAATAAGTTGTAGCAATGTTCCATTATTTGAATTATTCAAACTATCTTTGAATTTAAGTGACATTTAAAAGTTTTTTGAAGTGTATTAAAAAAAAAGTGATGCTTAAGTTTAAAGATGCTCTTTTCAAAAATAAAGAGGTCATTGGTAATGTTCTTGGATTATAAGCCATAATCCATAAGCGGGTTCATTTACCGGCCCTTAATCCTATTTAGAATTTTCGGGAGGATTGAAATATTGTACGACTAATTTGTTTGTTTGTTTATTTTTAAATAAAATTTAAATTGAAAACTAAAATAAAATAAGTAAATACAATAAAAAAATAAGTCAGACAAGTTCTCATTCCCTCCCGATTTCTTGACAAGATGGTGGCAGGGTCTACCTATAATTGGGACGAAACATTTTGCTATTACTATTTTTATCCCATTGTGACAATTTTTGGTACTACAACATATTTCATTAGTCGAGTTGTCAAGTTCTTGCTCTTTTCTTTTTAATTTTTTTTGACAAATAAATTTCTAATTTGTCAGTTCATAATATTTCAGTCAATTTAAATCAAATTTGGGACTAATCCCTGATTATCCAAAATTCATTGGCATGCGTAAACATTTTCCCCATATGATTGAAAAACTGTTAAAAGTAATCGCTTATGAAAAAAATCTTATTCTTCTATTCAAGTTACATATCTAATGCGTTGCACATTTCGTATCAAACTCCCACGGCTTATTGCAAATTCAAAATTATTGAATCGCCATCTCAATTTCTCGACAACCACAGCAAAAGGCTTTCAAATTTATAATTCTCTAACAGAAGAACATAGTTTATACAATTCTTTGTTGAACATGTGTTTGCAGCAATGCCAGATTGTCCAGTCCTGCCAAGTGTTCGAGGAAATGCCAAAAAGACTCGGTCTTTCTTTAAAGACTGGCAAAATTGTCCATGCCCTGAGTTTGAAACTTGGGATTTCCTCCAAAGGGAATTTGGGGAATGCAATTTTGGACTTGTATTCAAAATGTGGCCACATTGATTATGCGGAAAGGGTATTTTTACGCCTAGAGGAAAGGGATAAAATGGCGTGGAATTCGATTATGTTCATATATTCGCGTAACGGGTTCTTGGAAAGTGTTGTGGAGGCTTTTGGGTCCATGTGGAATCGAGGGGTCCTGGGGAATCAGTTCAGCTGTGCAATTGTTTTATCTGCTTGTGCAAAGTTGATGGACTTGAAGTCTGGGAAGCAAGTGCATTGTGGGGTGGTAAAAATGGGATTTGAAGTTGATGCATTTTGTGAGGGTTCTTTGATTGATATGTACTCGAAATGTGGGTACATTGTTGATGCTAGGAAGATATTTGATGGGGCTACCGACCACGACACAGTTTCGTTTACTGCCATGATCGCGGGGTATGTTCAAGTTGGTCTGCTTGAGCAGGCAATGGAAATGTTTGAGGAGATGAGAACAGGAGGTCACATGCCGGATCAGGTAGCATTTGTAACCACCATAAATGCATGTGTGAAGCTAGGACGGCTTGATGACGCGTGCCATTTGTTTTCTCAAATGCCCAATCCAAACATTGTTGCGTGGAATGTACTTATATCAGGGCATGCCAAGGGTGGTCATGAGGGAGAAGCTATTGGACTTCTCCGAAATATGATCAAAGCTGACTTCAAACCAACACGTTCCACACTAGGAAGTGTTTTGAGTGCTATTGCATACTTAGTGAACTATGAATATGGCCTGCAGGTTCATGGTTTGGCAATGAAGCTGGGGCTGGATTCTAATGTTTATGTTGGAAGTTCTTTGATTAGTATGTATGCCAAATGTCAGAAAATGGAAGCTGCAAAGGAAGTGTTCAATGGACTGGGAGAGAAAAATGACGTGCTATGGAACGCATTACTTGGCGGTTATGCACAGAATGGACATGCTTGTGAGGTTCTAGAGTTATTTTTGAATATGAGAATCTGTGGATTTCATCCTGATGAATATACCTACACTAGCGCTTTGAGTGCTTGTGCTTGTTTAGGAAATATAGAAACAGGGTCCCAGTTACATTCGGTTATAATCAAGAACAAATTTGAACAAAACTTATTTGTAGGAAATGCTCTAGTAGATATGTATGCTAAGTGCGGGGCTCTGGCCAACTCAAGGAAACAATTTGAGCTAATCAAAAGTCGAGATCATGTTTCTTGGAATGCAATCATTGTTGGATATGTGCAGGAAGAAGAAGAGGAAGGAGCTTTTTCTTTGTTCCGTAGAATGATGTCAGAGGGGATTGCACCTGATGAGGTATCCTTAGCTAGCACACTCAGTGCTACGGCAAATTTACAAGATCTTTATAAGGGTACACAAGTACACTGTTTTTTGGTAAAATATGGTCTAGAAAGAGCTCTTTATGCTTGCGGCTCGCTAATTGACTTTTATTGCAAGTGTGGAATAATTGGATCTGCAATTAAAGTGTTTTCATGCATGACTGAAAGAAGCGTGGCATGCACAAATGCTCTGATTGCTGGTTATGCTCAAGTAAACTTAGTTGAAGCTGTAAATATATTTCAGAATATGCTGGCTGGTGGACTGAGGCCATCAGAAGTCACTTTCGCCACCCTTTTGGAGTCATGCATTGGTGACACTAATCTGCATTTCGGAAAGCAAATTCACTGTTCTATTTTAAAACTAGGTCTTGCACATCATGATGAATTTATAGCCGTCTCTGTCTTGGGCATGTACATGAATGCTCAAAAAATGACAGATGCAAACATTTTTTTCTCCGAGCTTCCTTATCCAAAGAGCACAATAATTTGGACTGCTATGATATCAGGAAGCATTCAAAATGACTGTTGTGAGAATGCATTATTTTGGTATAGTGAAATGTGTCATCATAATGCGAAGCCAGACCAAGCGACATTTGCAAGTGTACTTAGAGCATGCTCTATGTTAGCTTCTTTGGAGGATGGCAGGAAAATGCACTCTTTAATCTTTCGTACTGCTTATAATGAAGATGAGCTGATAGGCAGTGCGCTTGTAGATATGTATGCTAAATGTGGGGATATGAGAAGTTCAGCACATGTTTTTGGCGAAATGGTTAGCAAGAAAGACGTTATTTCATGGAACTCAATCATTGTTGGATATGCAAAAAATGGTTATGCAGAAAATGCTCTTAAGATCTTTGAAGAGATGAATCAGGCGCATGTAAAACCCGACGAAGTCACATTCCTTGGTGTTCTTACTGCATGTAATCATGCAGGAATGGTATCCGAAGGTCAAAAAATATTTAATAATATGATTCATTGTTATGGGGTTCGTCCACGAATAGATCACTGTGCTTGCATGATTGACCTTTTTGGGCGTTGGGGTTTTCTCAAAGAAGCAGAGGAGTTCATTGTCAACCTAGACTTTGAGCCTGATGCTATGTTATGGTCCACATATCTTGGTGCATGCAGATTGCACGGGGATGACAGAAGAGGGCTTTATGCAGCAGAAAGGCTTATTCAGTTGCAACCACAAAATTCTTCTCCATATGTGCTGCTTTCCAATATATATGCGGAATCAGGCAACTGGGAGGGGGTTAATTCAGTGAGGACAAAAATGCAAGAAAGAGGAGTTAAAAAGTTTCCTGGATATAGTTGGAGGTCATAAATCTCGTCCTAATTCTGGTGAAATACTCGCACTCTTGAAAAGATTAAATGCATTGATGAAAGTTGAAGGGTATTTAGCGAAATCTGGATCTTATATGCTTGATGAAGAACAAATGTATATGCTCTCTAGACTATCAATTGATCTTGACATTAACAGGAATTGAACCACCCTCTTCATTAATTGATATATTCAAGTATAAATATGGTGCTCATCGAGCAGAAACTCCAGTTCTGTTAAATTCCAACTATGGGGCAAGAAGTCATTAAGGGATTATGGAAAACAAACTTATTTTGATTTTAGAGTTCAAGGGAGGGAAGGGTGTTGAGACTTTTGCAAAGCCTGAGATTTTATGATGGGTTGCAGATAGTTTGTATTGGCTATTTTACGGAGATTGACCTTGAAATGGTATTTTGCTCAGATGTCTTAATTTTCTCTCTCCTTGACAATATTGAAGAAACACTAGAAGAGTTATTATTCAGAATCTACTTTGGTTCCTGAATTGCAGTAAGTTAACAGTTTCGGAAAAGTAAGAAGGAAAAATTTGATTGCTTCTCTCTTTTCGTCTAAGCTCAAGTAGACAAGACAAAATTCCTCCTTGCTACTGAAGGTATTTGTTTCAGATTCCTCCTTGCTAGAGCATAGACATTTTTATTTTTTTTTCTTTCTACATATATTAGCTTCATTCATCTATTATGTTGCCTTAATGTATATACTGCATATTGGTTTACCAATTGATTCTTGCTGATTAATTCAATTGAATGGCCATGATTTCTCTAATTTGTTTCGGCTCCTTTGAAACTATCGTGTTTACCATGGTCAATTCTATGGATTACAACATTCAAATAAGTCTTAATATCAATAAATTTGGGTCGGCTACATCATGACACCATCTACTGAACAATCTAATAAGTCAAATCCTTTGTATCGTTAGGGTACATTAATGTGCTCTCTCTCTCTCTCTCTCCCTCTCTCTCTCTCTCTCTTTCTCGCCGCCCCCCCACCCCCCCGCCCCCCGGGAATTGGTTTTGTTGTCACATTGCTATTGAGAACATGACTTTATTTGTGTCTGCAAGACACTCAAACCACAGCATCAAAACCGCATTTTCTACTTTATATATTTTAGTATGACTACATGCCCCTTTTGTCATCATTTCCTTTACAATCCTCTAACGGGTATTTCGTCCTTCAATGACACAACATTGATTACCATAAACCGTAGTTAGTCTGATATCAATCATGCAAAACTTTGCCTTTTAACCTTATAGGTATCTTCCAATTGCATAGAATCCTCGTATCTTTTTTCATCTCATTCTACATGCTCTAATAGCATTACATCCCTTGTGCTCAATCGTCCTTAATAATTAAACATAAATATGTAAAAAAATAATTATTATGTAGGACAACATGAAGCTCTATATTGACTTCATTATCATTCTTACTTTTGCTATGACTAAGGGCTTGTTTGGTAGGCTCGTATTTTTGCTTTTGCTTTTTCTAAAAGAGCTTCCTAAAAAAGTTACATTGGGCTCGTTTGACAAGGCTTTTGAAAAGTTAAAAGTTGCTTATAAAACTAAAAAAACTACTTTAAATATGTTTGGATAATTTTTCGGCGTGCTTTGCTTAGTTAAAAGAGTTTTTAAAGAAAGCTGATATAATGAGGGAGTCCTTTTACAAAGAAGTAGAAGCAAAAGCACAAGCCTTTTCAAATGAATATTTTAGGCCAGCTTCCTCTAAAAGCTTTCCTAGTCGGAGAAAACACTTCTAAAAAATTATTTAAATGGGTTAAAAAATAACTTCTTAGTCTCAGAATGACTTTTCAAAAACTTTGCCAAATGGGCCCAAAAAGACTTTCGTGCATTATGCCTTAATTCTACCTAAACTTAGATATAAGCATGTTTGGAAGTTATTTGTAATCAATTTAAATTATACATAAATAAAATTTTGTGATAAATTTGTGAATATTATTTGTGGATTCCATGAAATATGAGGATAAAAAGTTGAAAAAAAAGTTGTGATCTCCCTCCCTCCCTCCCTCTTAAAATTGGTTTTGTTGTCACATTGCTATTGAGAACATGGCTTTATTCGTGTCTACCAAGACACACTCAAACCACCTTAGTCCCCTCCCCCTGGGGCGGTCTCCCAAATTAGCGTCAAGACCGCATTTTCTACTTTATATATTTTAGTATGACCATATGCCCATTTCATCATCATTTCCTTTACAATCCTCTAACGGGTATTTCGTCTTTCAATGACACAACATTGATTACCATAAAATGTAGTTAGTATGATACCAATTATTGCCTTTTAACTTTATAGGTATCTTCCAATTGCATAGAATCCTCTTAATATCCCTTTTTTTCATCTCATTCTACATGCTCTAATAGCATTACACCCCTTGCGCTCAGTTGTCCTTAATAATTAAACATAAATACCTAAAAAAATAATTATTATGAAGACAACATGAAACTCTGTATTGATTTCATTATCATTCTTACTTCTGCTATGACTAAGAGCTCGTTTGGTAGCCTTGTACTTTTGCTTTTGCTCCTTGTAGAAGAGCTTCCTGAGAATGTTACATTGAGCTCGTTCGACAAGATTTTTGAAAAGTCAAAAGTTGCTTATGAAATTGAAAAAATTACTTTTAATATGCTTGGATAATTTCCCCAAGGGTCCTATCATCGGTTTTTCCTTTTTAAAAATCTGAACCATATAGAAATCTAGTTTATTTCTTTGCACTTCTCTGTCAATCTTCTAAGCAAGAAAATGACCTCTAGTAGATCTTTTTTGCATAAATGGAACCTCGTGCATGAGCTCTTTGAATTACTCTTTAATCTATGCTTTATCACCTTGTTCGACAATATAAGTTTGGACTTGCGAATGCAGATATCAGAAAATATTATTCACTCTACAATGAAGACAGTCCCTTTTAGATGCGCCCTAGCAACAGAGGTAACAGAGGGGTGCTTTGCAGTGCAATCAAAACTTCAAGACTGTCGAAAGCAGGGTGTCATGCTACATAGCGGAGATCCTGAACTTACTGCAACTTTCCAATATAAATCCAACAATGAACCAAATGGAGTGGCGAGAAATTATCCATGTAGGCGATCCATAATTTGTTGGGAACGCTACTCAACACAATCCTCAGAACTTTCAGAACTTGAAAATGGTCTTCACTGTAACAACTTCCAATGCTTTCCCACCTCTCAGCGACTCTGCCCCATGCACGCGCCGTTAATCCACCTGCACCTCTTGTTGCCTCGTGGGCATCTGTCACTGAATCAATCCCTCGTCATCTCACCTCCATGACGGTCTTCATCATATCGTAACATGTGTCATTTGACAATTTTTCCTCTCATCTCTACTTGCAAGGGGAATAAAAATAAAATAAAATGGGTAATTGACGCAAAACATCCTTACCTTTCGAGGTTATTGTGGAAAACGTCTCTACCTTTCATTTTTTGGCATTTTTGTCCTTATTTACCACATTTCTTGCGCTGAATGTCCTTTTCACTGTTTTTTGACGATTTTGCCCTCTATTCAAATAAAAGAAAAAGAATAGAATAGAAAACAAAAGAATTAATTGCAACTAATACCCCAAAATTTCAAAAAATTACAAATTAGTAATAAATATAGGAGTTAATAGCCCAAATGGTTACTAAACTTTGCCAAAGGTTCAAAAAGGTCATTGAACTTTTTTAAATACAAAAAGAAAAAAAAAACCAAAAAAACCAACAAAAAAAATTGAAGAAACGGGCCCCACCAACAAAAAAAGGACAAAAAAAATAAGGAAGGTGAAAATGGAGGAAGGTGAAAAGTAAACCAAAAATTATTTTTTATTTTTTCAATCGTACATTTTTAATTAAAATTTATTGAAAATTTTATTTTTAAAAATAAAGAAAAAAAAATACAGATTAGTTTTGCTAAAAATAAAATTTTCAATAAATTTTGATTAAAAATGTACGATTGAAAAAATAAAAAATAATTTTTGGTTTACTTTTCACCTTCCTCCATTTTCACATTCCTTATTTTATTTTTATTATTATTATTTTTGGTCCTTTTTTTTGTTGGTGGGGCCCGTTTCTTCAATTTTTTTTGTTGGTTTTTTTGATTTTTTTTTCTTTTTGTATTTAAAAAAGTTCAATGACCTTTTTGGACCTTTGGCAAAGTTTAGTAACCATTTGGGCTATTAACTCCTATATTTATTACTAATTTGTAATTTTTGAAATTTTGGGGTATTAGTTGGAATTAATTCTTTTGTTTTCTATTCTATTCTTTTTCTTTTATTTGAATAGAGGGCAAAATCGTCAAAAAACAGTGAAAAGGACCTTCAGCGCAAGAAAGGTGGTAAATAAGGGCAAAAATGCCAAAAAATGAAAGGTAGGGACGTTTTCCACAATAACCTCGAAAGGTAAGGATGTTTTGCGCCAATTACCCAAAATAAAATCATGTAATTTGCCCATCGGCTGTATTTGTATTTGGAGTAACGGGATCCTACACACATGTATTTAGTTCTTTATCTTTTATTATGAAATGGGAAATCATTTTCTCATGTAGCAGTCACGTAAAGCATTACCAAGTTAAAAAATTGCAGGTTCTGGTGTAAAGGTAGTTCTAAAAGTCGGGCGGCCGATAGTCTATTTAATTGGTACCAAACCGGGGCCTAATAGTACCAATCTCTCCACATCAGAGTAGGGATAGCAAAATATCATCGTGCCTACCTTGCCTTGCATTGCTCCACTTCGTTGGGGAATTGGGCAGGGATGAAGAACACGATTTTCATCTTGAATCTTATATTTTATTTTCATATTTTTTCAATTTCGATCAAATTCAACAAATATACTATAAATAAATAAGTCAATAGGACCGTGTATGAGGATGTTTTTAATCTCCACATCACCTCCTGAAAATCCTCAACAAGGCGGGAGACGGAAAGGGCGACAGTGACCCCACTTGTCATCTCTAATTTAAATGTCACTCAGTCCTGACAACTAACAAGGCTTCTTTGTCGTGAACACATCAAAGAAAATTCTTTTAAGCTCGATCACTTATTGTACAAGAATATGTAGCACAAAATTGTTCCTAAAGATAAAAGAGAGGAAAAAAGAGGTAGAATGTAAAAGACATGTGGCAATAGTGTACGACCGTCAAGAAAATGACAACGTATTGGTGCAAAGAATAATACTAAGTATCACTACTGAGGTTAAACACGTCAGTCTACATGGCACACATAGATGTTGATAAATAGAATTAAAAGTAGGAATTCATGATTTAATTAAAATAATGCTATTCATAGTTAATAGAAATCATCAATTTAGATGATAATGTGTCCTTTAATTTATTTTTCGCATGGCCAATCTTCAATTTTTGGGGGATTTAAACCAACTTCGAATATGGGGCCTATAAATATTTTAAAATATATTAAATATAAATATTCAAAGATACAAATAATAATAATTTAAAACTTTCCAATGCCTAAATTAAATTTATTTTCTAGATTTTTTTGATAGAAAATCAACAATTATACTATTATAATCAGTCTATTTTAAAACTTCTTTTCAATGGACTCCATAAACAAGAGAAAAACCCATTTTCTGAACCTTTAGGTGAAGTAAAAGTTCTTCATAGGGTTCTCTTTTCTCTAACAAGGCATCAAGTTCTAATCAATATTATTTCAATTTCCTGGATCACTAATGTCTAAATGCATTGTGTATCTTAATGTCGTTCATTTATATTTTCTGCATCCTCCAAGTTTTCTTTCTTACTTTCCACTAAATTATCATGCTCTTTTTATTCATATTATCTTCATTTTGAATCTTCTTGTTTTCAAATTCTTCATCAACCATATCATTAATTGAGTTTTTTTTCTGTTATTATCGCTATCAAGAAACTTGTCCGTAACTCCTACTTGAAATTGAATAAACTCTTTTTTTTTTTTTTTTTTCCTTTTTCACGTATAGACCAACATTTTCTAGTAAACATATTAAAGCAATCCACATTCTTCATCAACCATATCATTTAATTAGTTTTTTTTTTGTTTTTTTCGCTATCAAGAAACTTGTCCCTAACTCCTACTTGAAAATTAATAAACTTTTTTTTTTTTTTTTTTTTTCCTTTTTCACGTATAGACCAACATTTTCTAGTAAACATATTAAAGCAATCCACAATTCAAAACTAATAAAGGATCAAACTTTCAATTAGTCGAGAAACAACGGAACTTGGTCCAAGATTTCGACTTAAGTAGACAAATATTTTTCTTTCAACTGAAGAATGAGAATCTATTAAGAAAATTTTATTCACTAAAAGAAGCATAGTCTAATGAAACAACAAAGAACTTGACAAGAAAAAACACTGGACAAGTTAGCCTCTAAAAATGGTTTGATAAGAAATCGACTATTTGAACAGAATCTAACAAACAGGTCTCGATTTTCCTCAGCTTTGCCGGTTTAACTTTCTTTTTAGAAAATGTTATTTTCTCAAGTTTGAAACTGAAAAAGTAAAATGTGCAATTGATGGGGTTGAGCTAGGCATAAGAATGGCTAGAAGAGGCCCCCCGGGGCACTTCTCCACTCACAAATGAAGGGTTTTCTTAAGGTTGGCAGTTCAGAGATCGTGGGTTCGATTTGTGGGACTCTTCGAAGGCAAGACGTATACTGGAAGACAGGATTTATTTTGGAAGACAGGAATGTCTTGGAAGGCTAGGCGCAACGTGGGTTGGCTCATTAGGCACTTTGGCAGTTCAGTTGGAGAGGCGCTCGGACCATGGTCAGTAGGAGGCATATCCCGCGGTTTAATTGGTCTGTGTGAAAAGGGGCCGAATCACATAACCAAGGAATAGTCGTCAAAGGCGGATACCTTGATAAAAAAAATTAAAAAAAATAGTAGAGGTAATTCGTGTTCTTAGTTTCTAATTATTTTGAGCTTTTCGTTTATGTAACAATTCATGCCTTACTTCGAAGATGTATAAATTGATACAACGGGCCTTGTGGCTCTTTGTCTTCCTATGCCTCTTTCACTTCTCAACATAATGAGGAGAAATGAAAAAATTTCTTTATTACCAAGAAGAAAAGTACTATATAATTTTTATCGATGTCTAATAAATAATCAGATAAACTTTAAATACTTTAAATTTTTAATTAAATATTAATATGTTTGCTAATTCAACAACTGCGTTGGCTTGGTTAATTGCATTTTAACTTTATTTTGTTTGTTATTTTTTTTTTTTTTATGAAATATATAGTAACAATGTTTTGGGCGCACACAAAAGTGGGATGTTAGGATATCGTCTATCCTATTTATAATCAGGGTCGGTTTTGATTCTTCGAACACGCAAGACACATAGATGGAACAATTTCTTTAATCTAACTTATTGTTTAAAGAGGTAGAATACAAAAGTCACATACAAAAATCCTGCTTCGATGACGTGTCAAACATTTATCTAGCAGTTTGGGGAAAAAAGGTGCTATGCTATTTATAAATATAAAGTGTGTTTACAAATTTGATTATAAAATAAGTATTGGCAAAATCTTGTTAATTGTTAATAATTTCAAAATCTATTTTTGAAATGATTAATGTAGAATTATTTTGTTAACCAATTTTATAAACCAACTTTACACGCGCAGCATAACTACTAAAACAAGGGGCCACAGGTGCCGTGCCTGTCTAAAGTCACCATCATTCTTATATATCTATACCATTTACCAAAACCAAAACAAAAACAATCAACATTTGAGAGCACACTCATTAGTCACTAGGAGAAAAAGGAAGAAATGTCTGCAACTGCTGGTCAAGTTATTAGATGCAAAGGTGATTTCTTCTTCATAATCACCTTTTTTGTGGATTTTTCTGATTATTTTGAAATGGGTTTATCTGATGTAATCACTTATTTTAATTTTTTTTAATTAATTTTTTTTTTTGTGGGTTTTCTGATTATTTTGACGTGGCTTCATCTGATCATTCCTGATCTTGAGTGGAGAATATTTATTTAATTTTTTTAATTAATTGTTATGCTTAAAATGATTTTTTTAAAATTTTATTTTTGTCGATTCTATCTGAAAATCGTATCTTTAAAATTAATCAACATCCAGAGGGAAAAGAAGCAGTGTTGGAAGCTATAAATTGTTGATAAATGAAATTAATTGTTTCAATGATCACTGAACTTAGGTTACTAAAGTTTAAAATGCATGAATTTAAGTTCAGTGACCATTGGAACAATTAACTTTGATAAATGAGACACAAGCATGTAAGAATAAGAGAATTTGTATAGCTTATAATCTTATATGGGGGTTAAGTCTTATTAACTGTATGTATATTTTGTTCCGTTTCTTCGGATGATATGATGGGTCAATCATTTGCTTCATTGGTTCCTTTTGTGTAGCCGCCTAGCATGGG